TAAGTGGACTGCCATGGAGAGAGGTATCCAATACCTGAGGGAACTGGCTGTGCGGGAGATGGTTTATTATGATCCAGACGATGCGTGGCTACCCACAGACCCAGATGAAGTCCAATGCAGCCGGCCCATGTGGCGGAAGTTTATACGGAGTGCTCCATCTTCACATTCGAATGCACTAGCAGTATTTGACTGGAGAGACGAAGAGGGACCAACTATGGATGACTTGGCTCGCTGACTCCAGCACTACGAAGAAAGTCTCTCTTCTTCCATCGTTGCAGCTGTGAAGAAACTGTCACAAGAAGTCCGACAACTCAGAGAGGACATGTCCTACTCTCCACCTCCACAGGCTAAGGTCTCGGCTATCAGGAGCAAACGGCTCCCTACTCAAGCGAGACGGTATACACCATGGGGGAACCTCTGGTATTACCTGCGTGACCATGGAGAAGACATGAGGAAATGGGATGGGAAACCCACCTACGTTCTAAGAGAGTGGGTTCGAGAGTTGGAAGGAAGAATGGCTACAAATCAAGGTTCTTCCAGAAGTGCTGCGCCAGTCTCCACTGATCAGTTATCCAAACCACGTAGAAGAGTTGACTTTGCTTCTGATCCTATGAGGAGAACTTCCGAGTCGTATTTACAAGAAGTGAGTAGCCAGGATGAGACCGAGATTCGCACAGGCCACACTAACCCCTTCATCGACAATGGATACTATGAGCAGCATTAGAAGGCCCTGCCTCCAGCCAGGTGGAGGAGAGGGACAATCGTGTTTACTGGACTGTGTGGATTCGATGGCCTGGCACATCGGATCCCCAGGAGTATAAGGCTCTGGTGGACACTGGTGCCCAGTGCACCCTGATGCCATCGAATTTCCAAGGAACAGAGGCTATTTGTATCTCAGGAGTGACAGGGGGGTCTCAACAGCTGACTGTGTTGGAGGCTGAGGTGAGCCTAACTGGAAATGAGTGGCAAAAGCACCCTTTTGTGACTGGCCCGGAAGCTCCCTGTATTATTGGAATAGATTATCTCCGGAGAGGGTATTTTAAGGACCCAAAAGGGTACCAGTGGGCTTTCGGTATAGCTGCCTTGGAGACAGAAGAAATCAAACAGCTGTCCACTCTGCCAGGGCTCTCAGAGGATCCTTCTGCTGTGGGACTGCTGAAGGTTGAAGAGCAACAGGTGCCGATCGCTACCACGACTGTGCACCGACGGCAGTATCACAACAACAGAGACTCAGTAGTTCCCATCCACCAATTCGTCAGCTTGAGAGCCAAGGGGTGATCAGCAAGACTCGCTCACCCTTTAACAGCCCCATATGGCCAGTCTGTAAGTCTAATGGAGAGTGGAGACTGACAGTGGACTGTCAGGGCCTGAATGAAGTCACACCACCGCTAAGTGCTGCTGTGCCAGACATGCTGCAGCTTCATCATGAATTGGAGTCAAAGGCAGCCAAGTGGTACGCCACAATTGATATCACCAATGCCTTTTCCTCCACCCCTCTGGCAGCAGAGTGCAGGCCACAGTTTGCTTTCACCTGGAGGGGTGTCCAATACACCTGGAACAGACTGCCCCAGGGGTGGAAACACAGTCCCACTATTTGCCACAGACTGATCCACACTGCACTGGAACAGGGTGAAGCTCCAGAACACTTACCATACATTGATGACATCATTATATGGGGGAATACAGCAGAAGAAGTTTTTGAGAAGGGAATAAAAATAGTTAAAATTCTTTTGAGAGCTGGCTTCGCCATAAAACGGGGTAAAGTCAAGGGCCCTGCACAGGAGATTCAGTTTTTAGGAATCAAATGGCAAGATGGATGTCATCAAATTCCAATGGATGTGATTAATAAAATAACAGCTATGTCTCCACCAACCAGCAGAAAGGAAGTACAAGCTTTCTTAGGTGTGATAGGCTTCTGGAGAATGCATATTCCAAATTACAGTCAGATCGTCAGCCCTCTTTATCAAGTGACCTGGAAGAAAAATGACTTTTTATGGGGCCCTGAGCAAAAGCAAGCTTTTGAACAAATTAAACAAGAAATCATTCATGCTGTAGCCCTTGGGCCAGTTCGGGCAGGACATGATGTTAGAAATGTGCTCTACACTGCAGCCGGGGAGAATGGCCCTACCTGGAGTCTTTGGCAGAAGGCACCAGGGGAGACCTGGGATCGACCCCTGGGATTCTGGAGTCGAGGGTATAGAGGATCTGAAGCCCGTTATACTCCAACTGAAAAAGAGATACTGGCAGCATATGAAGGGGTCCGAGCTGCTTCAGAAGTGATTGGTACAGAAGCACAGCTCCTCTTGGCACCCCGACTGCCGGTACTGGGCTGGATGTTCAAAGGGAGGGTCCCCTCAACACACCATGCAACTGATGGTACGTGGAGTAAGTGGGTCGCGCTCATCACACAGCGGGCTCGAATAGGAAACGCCAACCACCCAGGAATACTAGAAGTAATCACAAATTGGCCACAAAACAAATACTTTGGAATGTCACCAGAGGAAGAGGTGACCCGAGCTGAAGAGGCACCACCATATAATGAACTACCAGATAATGAGAAGCGATATGTCTTATTTACCCATGGGTCCTGCCGCATTGTAGGGAAACATCGGAAGTGGAAGGCTGCTGTGTGGAGCCCCACATGTCAGGTCGCAGAAGCTGTTGAAGAAGAGGGTGAATCCAGTCAATTTGCAGAGGTGAAAGCCATCCAGCTGGCCTTAAGTATCGCCGAGGCAATATCCAAATAATCCCACAGAGCAAGGCATTTTAAGTGTGTTTTATTTTATAACACTAGGGGAGAAAAACCCCAAAAGGATCCAAAAGGAGCTTCTTTACACACAGACATACCATTAATATAATTAATGGTTGCTATGTAAAAAATCTGTTCTTTTCTGGTATGTGAAGCACTTATTATTATAGAATTTTATCCTACCTTGAACAAAGTCAGTGAGTCAATCCATCAGAACAACACTTTACTTTTCCATTTCTGCTCATGTGCTTCCAAAAAATGTTTGTGCCAGATCTCTTCACTGGATTTCCAAGCTTTGTCTTTTTCAGACTTCTGGTCATCTTTGCAGTTCAGTAATGCATTTTATAAGTATTTCAAAGGTGTCTGTTATATATCTTAAAGATGCTCCAGCTATCCAGTCAACTGATGGTGTTGTTGCTTATGGCCCACGCAGGGCAGTTGTGTATGTCAAAGATCAGAACTGTAGTTCTTAAATCTATGCTGTTTTTCTGACAATATGAATACGATAGCTATTCCAGGATATAGTAGCAAATCACATCCTAGTTTGTAGATTTAGCATCCTGAGTAGTTCCTTATAAGATTAAAAACCTCTTCATCATTCAAAAAATGAAAGACATTGTGCCATTAATCTGAGAATTTAGGCTGATACAGAATCCCAAACCATTCGTGTCACAGAATTTGCACTTTCAGTCTTTTTGATAGTACTCTTTTACTAGTGCTTGAATTGGTTTTTTGTTTGTTTATGTTGTTTTTTAAACACAGTGGTATATATGACAAACTTAAGCTAATTAAAAGCTTAAATGGTTTATTGAGAAACAAAGTTGTCCTACACCATCCTGCCAAATATGTAAAAAGATGCATTTCAGTCAGGCTATCTTTTCCCAGTTTCTTTTTTAAAATCTCATACCAAGAAGAACAGCATGCATCTACATAAACATTTTAGTTTGAATGGAAGTGGGGCTTTGACGTGAATTGTTTGATTGTATCCACTTGCCACATTTTATTTAAATCATGGTCTGGTCTTTGAGTGCACAAGCTGGATTCATCTTGGATGAAGTTAATGGGAAAAGTTTGCTTTGAGAAATAGCATGCTCAATCTCTAAAACCAGATTAGGACTGGTCTGAAGTAAAAGCCCTAAAATGTGTGTAGTATAGATCTCATGTCCTTAGCACTGATTTTTTTCAGTCTAAAAATATGGTACTTTCACACCACACTAATTGTCTTAAGTTTCCATTGTCTACCTAAAAGGTCTAAATTATTTGGGACGTTAAAAAGATGTGGGTTTTTTTTTTGGCATCTGAAAATGGAAACAAAAATCCACTGTCAAAATACTTTATCAAAGTGAGTATTTTGCCTTGAAATCTACTCTAATCGTCTCTAATCTAGTGGTTCCCAACGTTTTCTTTGACAGCAGGGTGGGTTGCATGCTACTGTTTGTGAAACCCGTATCTATATTGTTACTGCCTGAGGACTTTCAAGTCAGGAAATGACTCATCAACTGTCATCTTGTAACCCACATGCAGCTCATTAGCAGTCCTCAAATCTGACCTTAAATAGTTCTTTCCTTTCCCTTTAAAAACCTAGTTAAAGAGCCACGCTCATGATTTGTCCTTTGAAGGAGGCTCATACTTCCTGTCTGCTTTGAACTAAGGAGTTAAGACTTTGGCTACTGTAACATTGTGTATCTTTACATGCAGAAGGGTTATTTTACAATCTCAAACATATATGATTCTCATTTGGTATGTGCATATAATTCTTTGGAAGGTCTATTATACAGTACTTGCTTAACTTGAACTTCCTGTCTTGCCTACTCTGAAGTTTACTGAATGTTAAACACCACCAGCAGCTAATTCATGAGGCAGTTCCTGAAGACTGGAAGGTTAGTAGTCAGTTTGACTAGATAAAGGTATAAAAAGAGATTATTTGTCCACTGTGTCCTTTTTTTCTGGGAGTTTTTTGCTCTTGGAGGTTGTTATTGGAGAGAACAATAGATGCCTGAGACCAAATAAGCACAGGTTTCTAGGACTGCTTTGTCAACCAATACTTAAAAACACAGCAGCAATAACGCATATTTGTTTAAGGCTGAACTGAGTGACACCCAATCAGCTTCAGTTTCTGAGTCTTGTGCCTTAAGCTGAATCCATAATATTATTATTCTGTGCACATCTTAACAGCAAATAACCATTTGGACCCTTACTTTCTGCATTTTCTCATGGTGACAACTAAATTTATTTCATCATTGTGTTTACTAGAAAATAGCAGTGTGCACATATAACCAACAGGAACTTTAATACTGAGACACTTCAACTTGAGTGGAATTTATACTTGTTCCATTGTTTATAAGCTAACAGAAATGCAACTTGATAAAAAACTCATAATAAAATACCTTATTTGTGGCAAGTTATCAATCCAGGTGTGTTGTTGCCTTGAAAAAATTTAAATTTTCAAAATGTGTTGCTATTTTTAAATAAGTAGGCTTATTTAGAATTTAATTTGCAGTGATAAAGACATTCCGTTTCTCTGGGAAATTGGTTTTGATATTAGGCAGTTCATTTAATGTCATTTACAGAGCCTTAAATGAAGTTCGATGGCTGACTGAGAAACTTACGAATACAATTCGTTTTAAAAAAGAAACATAAAACATAATGAAATGTAACAAATTGAATAGGCAGTAGTCCTTAATAACATGAAAATAGCATAATGTTAAACTGAGTTATTTTTTATTAGATGAATTTCAGCACAGCCATATGGATTTATTTCACATGTTAATGCCTTAATTATGACCTGATTGTGTTTTTAAAGTACATATCATTTAATGATGTAATATTTGTAGCTTATTTTTTCCTGTTCTGATTACCTTTCCTTCTGTCAGCAGGTAAAAAGTCTTTGGTAAAGTGAAAGATCATTTATTCATTACTAGCACTCCTTTTCTTCTTTAAAGGATATTTTGTTCTTGTGGAGAAGTAGGCAATAGCTCCTGTTCCCTTCAGCAGAAACTTTGATCTTGAATTTAAAATGCGTACCAGTGCTCATTTAGAAACATGGTAGAGCACAATAACTTAAATTAACCTCTGATGTAAATTAATTTCACTTTGGAACAGTAGCCTTCATACAGAATAACCATGATTTTAGAAGCTAGCTTGCTTGACATAACTGGAAAGGAAAAAGTTTATTTGAAACAGTCTCGATGGAAAACGTTACAGTTTTCAGCAATGCAGACTCACATCCTTCAGTGAGGATCAAATCTGAATGTTAGCACACAAAATTCAAGTTTCAGACATACACAAAAAAATCTGGAATGTGAAGCAGCAAGGGAAATGGTGGAGACAAAAGCAAGATAGAGGATCTAATGAGCCATCTTAATTTGGTACCATATTCCGGATGTCCTGTTTCTTCCAGCTGGTTTGGTTCCTATTCCTTTGTTCTTTCTTCCCCGCTGCCCCCTTCTCATTTCTGTGATTATACCCACAACATGATCCCTGTTCTTCATTCTTTTACTCCTGTTTATTATTGTGCTCTGCTGATCTTCAACTTTGGGCAAGTAGAGTGCTTATCATGAAATAAGTAGAAACATGCTTTTTGTGGTACATTGGCTTATTTGTAAAGGATGCCCAGGTGTGCATTTAGCTTCACAGTAAACGTGAAATAGTTGATCCATCCATAAAAGTAAATTTCATACCTATATGGAAGCTCTTGCAGTTATTTCTGCTCACAGAGAAGGAGTTCCTGTTCATGTTATTAGTTCATCTTCTATTGATCTCTGGGGAATAGGATTCAGTTTTTAAGCCCTTTAAAATACTTTTGTGATAGTTGACTAAAAAATATATAACATACTACTATAGCTGGCCATAATGTGTGCAGTGAAATAGGGTGCCACATACTAAAGGGTATTTTGTATGCTTAACATTAGCATTCATATTCCTGATCCCTTTACTGTAATCTCTTGTTGATTTAAAAATTAAAAGAAAAAATACAGTAATAAAAAGTAAGGCTTACCTGCGTATATAAATAAGAATTTTGGGTCATAAAAATCTCTAAGTCTTTCTTGCTGGCCCTGCATACACCATTTTATCACTAAAAATTCTGTGGGGGTGCAAAATATATTTTGGTTATAAATTAAGGATTTAAATTGGCAATTTTATTTTCAAATACACAAACTAATTTTCTTCTTTTTACTTCACATATGTTCCTCATCATCTTGCACTTTTTTTCCTGCAGCTTAATTTGATCATAAAAATTACTGTGAGTTCACAGCCCGATATCATGCAGCCCCCTGCAACAGTTCTCATAACACTTTGAGAAAGCATTGCTTCAGATACTAAGCAAACTTGTTGCTGAACTTTCTTGTGAGGTTATATTAATTAAGTCAGAATGCCATCATGTAAAAATGTAGAGAGGAGGTCCACAGAATGAAATCTTTTTTACATTTTCAGGTAAAAATCTGTCTGCTTGTAAAGAATGGTTAGAATTTTTATAGTAAATGGAATGTATTTACTGCTTATATGCAGAAAATATTATAAGAATTTAATAATAAAGTTTCTTGATTGTGAAAATGCTTTAAAGCATGTCCTGGTTGGGGCTGGCATAGAGTTCCTGTTGGTTCAGCAGCGGGAGGAGCTGCAGCACCCTGAGACCCCAGGGGCTCCCCAGGGCCCAGTGCCCTCACCTGTGTGCGGGGGTGGGGGGAGCACAGCTGGAGGGCTGGGCCCCGATTGGCCGATATTCCATGTCATGTGACATTGCACTCACTATATAAAGGCAGGAGAGGGCCGGGATGGGCTCTCACTTCTGGGAGTGTGGCTGTGGGGCCTTTGTGTTGGGGATCGCCAGCTGGGAGCAGGCTGGTGTTGGTCGGTGGGTGGTGAGCAGCTGTATGGTATGTTACCTGTTGGCACTGCTGTCAGTGTATTATTCGGTTACTGTTATTAAACTGTTTTTATCTCAACCCGCGAGTCTCCCTTTGCCCCTCCGATTCCCTCCCCATTCCCAAGTGGGGGGAGGGTGGGTGAGCGACCACGTGGCATTTAGCTGCTGAGTAGGCTCAAACCATGACAAAGCATTGCATGTGATATTCATGCCAATAGCAAAAACACAGTTGATCTACTCAAAAGTGCATATTTTATATAATTTCAGAGGTTCTTAAAGGGAAAAGGATAAGGAAAGTACAGGAAAAATAACAAGAAATTGCAGGTATGCAACTCATGCTTTGAGATTCCAGTGGGGGGGTGAGGGAGTCTAAAATAACATTGTACTCATTAAGCAGCTTCCATCCTGTACACTGAAAAAACCTCTAAATTTGTGGGGAAAGCTCATGATCAAAGTTCATCTTTTCTGAACAGAAAAGAGGATCAAATTATGACAGAATGAATAAATTTGTTTTTGCCAATTTGTGTGTATACTGAACTTTGCAAGCCTATTAAAAGTTGGTTTTTTGTTTTTTTTTTTTTTTTTTCTTTTTAGCTTTTTTTTATATATAATTAAATCCTGATACAAATGAAGCACTGTCTGGATATGAAGCATTGACAATTTTTACTGTTAGACTTTGTCAGATTCTTAATGGGTCTATTTTTTGTTATATATTTGATATATTTTAGCCAGTTAGGAGTCATATTTTTAATTTTAACTACTATGACTTAAAATATTTAATATTCCAGTGGAAGACACTTCATAAAAAATGGTCCAAAATTCCAGAGAAAAGAAGGGATTTTTAAAAATAAAGCTTGCATTTGTCTAGAGATGGAGCAGATCAGATGGAATGGAGCTGCCTTGTATCCTACATTTCTGTGATTCTGTGCTGCTGGTTCTGCCTGATTGAAATTAATGTTTTTCCTATCTAGGATTGTATTTGTGCAAATATATTTGAGTAAGGGAATTAAGTCTCCTGTGATTATATTTGATTGATACAATAATAATCCCCCTATTTAACTTCGTTTCAGGAGTTCTTTGGTATTTTCATTTTACTGGACAGAAATAACTAATAAAAATGGAAAGTATGTCTGAAATATAAGTGGACCTAAATAATAGTACCTATGTAGATGGAAAAGCTGCAAGTCTACTGATGTTAGGCTACAGATGTCTACTGTAGACAGAATTGCCATTGCTTTTAAAGTTCTATTTGTATAATCCTGAACACTTGCAAAGACATTCTATTAATTGATCAAGGTTTATCTAAATTAAAACCAACATATCCAAGAATATCAGATTGTCTTCCTGTTTCCATTCAGCTACAATCAAAAGATTTAGTGGTACATCCTTCAAATCTTAATCCTAGCTCATCCATTCGTTTGTCTTCTCTTGTATTCTGACCTCTTTCCATCAAAGAATCTGAAAAAATATTATTTGTTTCAATTTAGGAAAAACACCTTATAGAGATATTTTTTTTAATCAACAAATGGAAGTTAACAGGAAAAGTTCTAAACCATTGCCTGAAATATACTACATTGAGGGGACTCTGTAAATGGTATGGGTTGATTGCTGCTATCTAGGGTATGGAATGAATGCTCTAATACATCCAGACTGTCCAGAGTGTTGTGGTAAGTGAAAAATTCGTTTATTGTACAAAGTATTAAATACTGTTACAATGTTTTTTGCTTTGATTAAACTCAGTACTTTCCTAAATAGATAAAAGTGAAGCAACTTTATAAAATTGTTATGCCATACTCTTTTGGGCTGTGATCCTGTCAAGTCTATCGAGGTAACCAGTACTAGATCAGTTCAGTACTTGGCTAGAAGTTTTGTAAGACCCTGTTGATTTAGATTTTAAATCAGACCCACAATTTCTATGGACTGATTTAAATGTAAATCAAGCAGATTAAGTTCAGACCTCTAGAGAGCAATGGGTTTTTCTGGAATTGGAATAGGAAATCTTTAAGCAGACAAGGATGTTTCAAGTGCTATTTCAAAGTGAGACAAAGAAGATAATTATTTTTGTTCTTAAATTTAAAAAAGGGGGCATAATAATGGACTGCTTTTATTCCAAATTTAAATGCTACATTAGAGATCTGAGTAAAGTAAGAATAGTTAAAACAGTCACTCTGTATAGCTTCACAAAATAAAGTTATATTTGTAAATATCTGTGATATTCTGATGATTTTTATTTTGTTGGTCCTCATATTAAAACAAGTGATACTTTTTAGCGGGGAGTATAGTGATAGGATGAGGGATAATGGTTTTAAACTAAAAGAGTGTGGATTTAGATTAGATATAATGAAGAAATTATTTACTGTGAGGGTGGTGAGGCGCTGGCCCAGGGTGCCCAGAGCAGCTGTGGGTGCCCCCTCCCTGGAAGGGCTCAAGGCCAGGTTGGACGGGGCTGGGAGCCCCCTGGGCTGGGGGAAGGGGGCCCTGCCCGGGGCAGGGGGGGTGGCACTGGATGATCTTTAAGGTCCCTTCCAACCCAAACCATTCTGTGATTCTATGGTTGTGTATTACCCTCCTTAAATGCTAAGGAGTGAATTGGTGTTTTAAAGAGTGGCTTTGCCAGATTGCATTTCACCCAAGAAAAGGTTATTCGTATGATTCCCAAATATTGAGCCTGAAGTCTCAAGGGAACGATGGAAGACAAGACATAGAGAGAGTAATCTGTAGTCAAGCTTCTGACAGATGATTCCCTAGAGACCTAGAAATGGTGAAAGAAAACACTGGATTACATATTGAATGACAGTTTACAGAATAGAATACATTTTGAAAAGAAATAAGAATATGGAAGAAAATAGAGACAACTCTAAAATTGCAGGACATGTGAATGTTTCCATATGTGATTGTTTTTTCCAGTTTGTTGTTTTCATCAGGAGGAATCTAAACTTTTTGGTTCATGTCTTCCAGCAAAAAGTGACAAGTATCTGGAAGGGATACATATAAAATATATTACATTTATTATAATACAGAATATTGTTGCACGTGATTTCAGGGAAAGGTATATTAAAATCAAGTTTAGAAGAACGTGTCTTCTTTAGGATGATTTGTTTTGTACAGACTGCAGTTTTGTTTTGGGCTTTCCCCCAGAATGTCTTACTCCATCCTAAACTAATCTGTATTCCCTTTTTCTACAAAACACAACTTTCATCTTAGCTCTGGTGGCTGCTTAACGTAAGTAGTAAAATTAATAATTTTCTTAGCTGCCATGCTCCTTTACCTCCTGCACTAGACAGAATCACTACATAGCCCTACACCAGCATCAACCCAGCGTCAGTGATTTCCTTTCCCAGAATCCAAAACACCATATCATAAGCAGTAAAACTGAAAGGGTCCTTCTGTTTATTGTTCTACCTCAAGGCACAAGATACAAGCTTCTGTTATTCCTGACATGTATGCTCATAATCTTTAAAACCTCAGAAGACTACATAGACTCTCAAGGAAATATAACTCAGTACTGCACATCCTCACCACTGGAAAAATTTTTCTAAGATATTTATGTAATTGCACTTGAAGTAGTTTGTATCTGTTACTTGTTCTGTCACAGTAAATCTGGAAATTATTCTGTTAACTTTATCTTTGAAATAGCTTTTGTATATCTTAGAAGACCGACCATTTTCTTTTTGTTATATTGTCTTAATTGACCTAAACCACCACAAGTTCAGTCTTTTTGGTCATGTCTGATAGACCTCTGTTCAGCCTGATTACTCTCCACTATCAGTTCCCTACATTTGTTTTCAATGCCTCAAACTTCATCAGTAGTTCTCAGCATGGGAGAATTAGTAGAAAATAAAATATTCTCCCAATATCTTTGTTAGTGGGGGAGATTCTTCTGAATCAAGCACTTATTCGTGGAAACATTTTGATAAACACTTTTCCAAGGAAGTACAGCAGAGTTCAACTTCTTGGGTTATCCAAGTTTCCCCTGCAGCTGAAGGAACCAGGTCCTGTAATCCAGTTAAAACAGTTTCAGGGTCCATTCTAGCATTATTTGGGAGCTTTGGACTCTTTTGCTACTCTTGTTTTATGGTTAATTCATGGAAAGTTCATTCTCATATGCCCTGATGGGGTCAATGCCCTTTAGCTTAAATAGATTTTTTTTTTTTTGTCGCCTATTTTATAATCAGAACAGGTCAAGTACTATCTATCTGCTTTTGTAAGAGTTTGCATTTGGCAAACCTGTATCTCATGTGCCCTATTTTGAGTTTAATATTCTTGCACAGCAAGACTAAACTAGCATGGTATTTCAGATGAGCTCTTACCAGTGCCTTTTACATCATTAGTGCTTTTCTTCTGGTCCTAAGAACCTCTCAAATGATACAACAGTACCATGCTTCACCTTTTCACTGTGACTGACTGTACTCACAGTCCTCTTTAATCAAAAAAATATACAGGCCCTTTGCATTCTTTTATTTCTTCCTGTCTATTTAAATCTTGTCCTTAGTCACAGCTTCTCCCAGTTTTGTTGTCAGCATAGTTCACTGGGACTTCTGATAATCTTGTTAGTGGAAATACTTAGTAAAGACTGTCTAAGAGCAAGATCACGAGTAATCCCTTTCGCAATTTCTCTCCAACTCTTATTTCCCTTTTAAGCATCATTCAATATTCACTTTTAAATTTCATTCTAGTCATAGCTTTCTGTAGTTTATTACATTTCTATGTGTTGCCATATCACGTGCTTTCAAATTAATTATGTGTTTATCTTTATTGGAAGACAACATCAAATTGTATTGCTTTCCTCTTACCTGCATGTGTTTCAGAGTTCATTCATGAAATCTACACAGTATAGAAGTCTGATCAGCTGTTCTGTGGTTTGGATTATTTTTTCCTTTTCTGAAAAAATTATAATACTTTTTTTACCCATCATAGGTTAGCACTAGTCACTGAGTATCGCCGCAGATACACTGCAAACCTCAGATTATCATCTGTGTTACCCTTTCATGGGCCAGTTCTATTTTGGAACATGGAAACAGATGTTACTCAGATGTTCTAATTTAAGTACGTTAAACTTTGAATAGTGTGACTGTTTCTAGTCTCTGGGTCTTGGCAAGGATATGGCAGAATGGAAGAAGTTATGGAGTAGGCCCAAGAATGTGGAGAAATAAAAACACCTATGCACATCCTCTGCAGGTTTCATAAACAAACCCACTCTATTTTTACTTCTCATACATCAAAATAGCTGCATGTTCAGTTACACCTGTTCTGTTTCTTCTATTACATTTAGAATATCTAGATTCATGTAGTGTTCTAGTAGCTCTGGCTCCTCCATGCTGCTGTGCAGTGCTCTGTGAACAATGCATAATTTATTTCACACTGCCATTACACAATCTGTGCACTAAGCGTAACTCTTTCACTTACTGCATCATCTACCAATCTAAATCTCCTGTATTACAACATGCATTAATTTTCTTCCCCATGCTTCAGTATCATGTTCTTTTGTATCATAGTATATCCTCATTTGTTTTTTCCCCCTCTGCTTTTATATTAAAATGGTATTAAATATTGAGCTATTGTCTCACCTTCCACTCCCATTCTCTGGTCTAAATCTCCTTCTGAATTAGTGAGTTGAACATGTTAACCTGATCAGTTACGGTGTGATGTATCTATCTTTAGAGAAAACTTCTTGGCAGAAAACACTGGTGGTAAAACATACCGAAATTTTGTTCTTCAGGTACCAGATATGCCTTAGGCAGAACCCTTTACTGAGAGGTAATGACTTAAAGACATGGAGTTACTGCTGATTAATAATTCCAATTTGTCTTCTGCCTCTGTAAAGCAGTCTTGAATAAACAGAATTGATGAGAACAAACATACTAGAAATCTACTCATATGATTTTATCTTAATTTGAATGTTTTTCTGCTTTTAAAGCTCTGTTTTATGTTAAATAAAGCACATTATTCCAGGATAAGTTAATTAAATATTTTGGTAACAGCTACATGAGATATGATCCAGCATTAAATTTTACTTAACATGGGCAACTGAGTTTCACATCATCAAAATTTCTAAATATAATTTTTCTGCTTTATAATATTTAAAAGATTTTTTAGATTTTTTTTTTTTTTTAATCATCAGATGCAGCTGTGAGATTAATACAGTACAGAATGTCCTATGTTTCTCAGGTCTTCTCTGGAGAGACAATTTGATATTATACCCTGTACTAGCTTTATGAAATAATTTTTTGTCCTCTATTACTATTCTGCAGAGCTTGATTTCTGTGGTATTTTTAGTAGATTAGAGACTGAACGTTCAGTTCTAATTTGGTTTTCTTCAGTTCTTTCTCACAGTGTGGTGATTATTTATATTACTGACACATAGTAACTTGAAAGTTCAAATAGAAATACATTATTCAAGAGAATATTGAAATAGCCCTAAACATCAGAAGATAGTGCAAAATACTGGTTAGCTTACAGGATACAAGAACAAATTAATCGTCGTGTGCATTTCAGTATGCGAGGTGTGAAGTGGTAACTACATAAAATACCCTGTAAAGATAGAACATTTTGCCAAGATGTTTATACTTTGAAAGTGAAGGTAAAGCAATAAGAGTTTTTCATTAGTGAAAAGATTGAAACAAGTTAAGTTTTACCAGTTAAAGAAACTTTCCGTCAGCTGGCTAAATAAGCTACAGGTCCCTACTTTTGATTACATTCTTTTTTTTCATGCCTTCTGCTACATAGCAAACAGATGATGCTTCTGAGGAATAAACATTTTATCCCATTGTAAGAGAAATCTACCTTGCTCTGATTAAATATGATAAAAATTCTGAAAGGTTTACTAGAAGCGTGCCTATAATTTCAATAAAAAGAGTAGAATTATTCCTCTGGTACATAAGATGATTGATTTTCCAGACAGAAAGGTTGGAAAATGCCTTTAGTTACAGGTTTTTGTAAAGCTTTTTCTTTCCCATAAAGCCACCTTGGTCTGCCTATACTAATGTATAAAAAAGGCAAGGGTTTGACATCATCTGCAGAGGACTCCTTCCCTCCTACATTTCGTAAGACCTCTAAAACCCTCTTCGGTCAACAGCAGTGGCAAAAAATGCTAGGCCAGGTAGTAACAACCATGAGGGATCAAGTGAATCCTGCCAGCCAAATGAAGATTTGTTGAAGATCCTGAACAAATGAAGATAAACAAAACCAAACATAGAAAATCCTGCTGAAGGTTTCTGCAGTAGTGACTAAGAAGTCATTATTAAGGTAGGCAAACCCCAGTAACTAGGTAGGCACCGACTCTGCAAAAGGAAAGGTCTTAATTACTCTTGCATACCGAATGCTAATGATGTTAATTAAAGATCTATCCTAAAGAAAGGCTTCCGTTGCCAAACTGAAGTCCGATTCAGGATAGCATAACCAAATAGCTCAAATTCTGCTTTTTTTCTGCCAAGAGCATAATGCTTAGTCTTTTGTGATGAAGTCATTCTGCAGATGACAGTACAGACTTCATCAAATAGCGTAACATGATCCGACAGGAAAAGTGTTTCATCCAGAACACTTGTTCTGCATCATACACTGAATTCTGGTTTGATGTATCAGTTTTGCATTAATTCTTAATAATTATCAGAGCTTAGATTTCAGCTTTGTCTTGTATTACTTATACAAGCAGCTATAGCAGTTTATTTAAAACTTTATTGGACATAAGCCCTATTAAAATGTAATTGATGGACATAAGTGAAAAGTAATGAAGAGAAAAATATAGTGTAAAAGATGATGTATAAAATACATCAAATTTTTTCACCATCAACTAGCAGAATGGTGGGAAAAAACTGATCTTTTTTTTCAAATAGATAAAGATGCATTTTAAACATCTAAAATGCAATTTTAAAAAATTAATATCACTTACATTCCACATTTCTTACTTGTTCTTTTTGTCCATAGTTGTATGCAGCCCAGGATCGTATAAACCTAGTAATGGAATTCACTCCCTTTGGTGCAATAGCAGTTTGGTATATGGAGCTACAAAATGCTAATAGCTGAGGGATTTGCACTCTTGCAATAGTTCTTATGTATTTTAATGTAGTAATATGAATAAATGTTTTTAAAATGTGTTGTTTGTTTTGGTTACGTCAATAGAATACACTTGTTTTTAAGAAATAATGATTTATCAGCATGTTGGTGAAATGCTTTAGGTCATACCACTTAGGGCTACTTAATTTTTAAGGTCTTTAGAGTATCTGATAGGTTAATACCAATAGACACAACTAACTGTTTAAATCACAAGAATACAAAAGTAGAGGTAGTTTGCATACTTAATCCTTTCCTAATAGACCTCAGCTCCTCTTACACCCATCTGTGTTGAGGAGTCTATACTGTAGTTTTCATCTACCTGTCCATTCAGTTAAGAGAATTACAGTGAACAGCTCATGGTGTATGTCCAGTGCTGAAGGTCATGAATGTTGCAATGTAGCCTCAAATGCAAAAACATCCTAAAAACTTTCTTTTAAGATGAATTATAGTATCACTACTGACTGGTTGGTAACTTCTTCTCAAAGAATGTAAAATTCCACTTGGGTCAGTCATCTGTTCCACCTTTAAAGATACCATGTTGAGCATAACACTTTTGCTCTTACCTGAAGAAAATAAACAGTAATATAAAATACCATGGTACGTTTTAGGACACTCATCTTCTTTACTTTTGTAAGACTGTTGAGAGTTACTGAGTGGTTGGCTCAATTAATTCCTTGTCATTGTCATTCATTAACAGCCTTATTTAAGTTGGTATTCAGTAACAGAATCCTGTTTAAAATCCTATTTGTTTTGTATTTGCAGATCATACCCCATGCAAATTGAATAGTTTTAAATTAATACTACAGAGTTTATATTCTTTTCCGCTTAGTTCTTTTCCCTACCTAGTTCATGTATAAAAATGAGCTAGATGTGAAGGCATTTTAAGTTCTTTGTTGTATCTGGAAAATGGGGTTTGCAGGTGTTTGTTTTTTCAAGCACAAATAGGGACCGTAGGTTTAAGTATGTAAGTCTTCAGGAACTGCACTCTGAAAAAAGGAGTAAAAAGAAATACTGTGCTATATCTAAGAAGTAATTTTTCAATATGATATATCATCTTAAGATATTATACTGTAACCATCCCACTAAGATACTATTTACGTGACAGAGCCTAAAGCTTCAAATATAATATATTTTGATGTGAAGGACACAAAATGAAAACAATACATCTGAAAGTAACTAGTAAGACTGTATGATTTGCCTTTGTGGTTTGAAGGAACTAAAGTAACTTTTATATAAAACATATGCAACTAAGGCCTTTGAAAAAAATGGAAAACAAGCATTATCAGGATTCTATGGAGTGACACTCTTTCTCAAATACCAGTATAAACAGTGTAACTAGCAGAATATATAAAATAGGTCTTTTTATCAAACACTATTTGAAAATACGTGGCTGGGAAAGAGCATGTTAAAAAATGTTTAGCAGTTAAGAAATTAAATTATTTAACTGTAATACATGGAATGACTAAAGGCTACATATTCCTTATTTTTGTGTGGCAATTAGAAATGAACAGACCTCTGGGTCATTACAATAGGCTGAAGCACTGCACATCCATATGTTATCTCCATAATTTCCAACTCACAACAGCACTAAATTAGTTAGCATTAGTTTGAATTATTAATGGCTAAAGAGAGAATGTAATATGCAATACTGTCTTTGTGAAAATACACTTTGTTAAAAAAACACTATACCAAGTAATATCAGCACATGTAAATTCCTACAGTATGGATAGCAAATTAATTTGAGAATTGCCCTCTAAGGTGAAGGCAGCTTTTTATGGCAAGAGCAATATAGATTAAGCAGCATTTTGACATTTTTTTGTATTTACCTTTCTGTTGCATATCAGAAACGGAAAGCTCTGATTGGCAGACCATTTCATCAATTAAAGGCATTTATAGAATTGTATCCGTACTTTGAGGAAGAATATCAGAATAAAAAATAATAGAATAAAACACTAGAATATTGACGTTCTTCTCCATGCATACATTTATGGATTTTAGCAAAGTTTAGGAGCAATGTTTTTTGGTCCTCCTGATAGGTGAAATTCACTTTAATTCACAAAGTTTGCAAACCCTTTAAGGCTTACTGGAAAAAGTAGAGTAAGTGGTTATAAAAGTTTGGTTTTAATTCTGCCTACTATGAACAAAAGCACTTTACATGAGTATGTGTGAATGTTCTCTCTCATTACTGATTGCAGTCAAGTACAGATGTATTATTACAGGTGCAATCTGTGGAAGAAATCCTGATCTCAGTTAACAGCATTAACCTGGGCTTCTAAATTACTCTTGGTTTATGCTGGCTTAACCAAGAAAAGAATTCTCATTTGTCAGTGTAAACCTGCTGTATATAGACAAATATACATCTCTTGCTGCTAAAATATTTTAGGTTTACTCTCTTGTATGGTTGGAGCCAGAAGAATTTAATTTCCTTGCATTTAAAACCATGGCAAAATATTTTCCTTGTTTATCTATTCCCCAAATAATTACGTTAAACTTGCTTTCATTTTCTCATGTTACATCTGCTATGTGTTTGCTGTTTTTCCACAGTGCATGTGAACTGGTGTTTGCATTCCTATTTTCACCATTTTTCATAATTCACCTCTTTGCCATGAGGCAAAATCTGTGCACACAGAAAGACTCAGCATACTCCCACTTTTGCAGATGGTCCTGCAGTTTGTTCAAAATCTGCAGCGATGCTCTATATCCTTCTGGAACTGGAATGCTTACTGTTTTATGTGGTATTTTTCCCTTTTTGCCAAATAAACATGAAGCAGGCTAACTTCTTGAGTTCTATTGAACTGACAAGATTACTGATGAATGTAAGTGGCAAACTCAACATTTATGATTGATATATTATACATATTCAGCAAGACTAATTTGCGATTCCATTACTATAGTCTGCCAATTCAACATGAGCTTTAATTATGCTGTATATTTCTTAAAAGCAATGATCTTTTTAAAAGCAGGGATTCTGTGTCACAGAAGTAGCATTAGTAGCATTACTATTTAGTAATATCCCCAAATGAACCTAATGTGAACAATGTCACATATGTTTTTGGTAAGCTGAGTTGACTGCTTTTAAATATCAACTTTTGTGCTGTTAATTATGTTAATGTTTTCCTATTACTGATTAAATAATATTCCACAGCAGTATTTCCACATAGCCTCAAGCAGTAAACAATAAAAACTTTAGACTTCTCTGTAACTGATGACTGACACAAGTTTGGAGTTCTCCTGTGTTTGTTTTAAAAAGCGTATAAAATGAATGAGGCACGTTTTATATATAAGCAATTGGAAAAACATACTAGGTCGTGTTTATTTTTTCTCTGATATGGGAGTTGTTTAATGGGACATTTCAAAAGACTGAAAATTTAAATTTTCAGGATGGTTGAGTGCAAGTAACTTTTAAGAGGAAAGAAGATTCTGGGAAGCAGTGGCTCAAAACTGAGCAAGTTATAAACTTTCTGAAGTAGTGTTTATTTTTATCAAAAAGTGATGAAAAATTTGAATTCTTGGATAGCCAGAAAAATAGTCAGTGATATTCAGTTCAATCCTGTCTCCCCAGTTTGCGTTTTGTTTTTAATGCAGCAAGAATACAGGGCAGAAAGTGTATTTTTACAGACAGAAACCCCATGGTAACACAGGCTGTGAAGAAAATCCATTGCCTGATAAAAGAAATAAATGGAGCATTTAGTTGGATTGCATTAGATTCTTAAATAACATGTGCCTTTCAAAGCCTCCTATGTATTGTGGAGCTATCATAGTTTAGATGTTAAAAGTTACCATCAAAAGTAACATCAAATACTTTACAATCATGACAGTATAGTTTATATTACACCATATAAGAATAGAAGAGATTGTTTTCCGAAGTGAGGGAACCTTTCATCATATCTTTTTCTTTCTTATTTGTATTAAAGAATTTAATTCAATGTCATTTAAACCCGGCTTTCAATTTTACACCTCTCGAGATTATCTAGTCCAACATCTTGCTGAAGGCAGGTTCAGCTATAGCAGGCTGCTCAGGGCCATGTCCAGTCAGGCTTTGACCATCCTCAAGGATGAAGACTCCATGACATCTCTGGGCAACATCCTCCAGTATTCAATCACCTTTACTGTATGATTTTTTTTTCTTTTTTTTTTTTTAATCTCCAACTAGAATTTCCTGGATTTCAGTTTGTGCTCAAATACATTTCTCATTTTCTAATGATATTATTTGAAAATCTCCATATCAAATACCTGCATGACATTGTAGCTATGTTATTTTTCTGTTGAACATTCCTATTGTAATGCTCAGCTCCTTTGTTTCATATCTTTTATCTTTCCTCTTTTTCCCCCCTTTCCCTTTTAAATCTTGAATAAGCATTTAAGTGAATACCAGCGCTTCATTTTTGTGGCTTAAATAAGTAGTAGAAAGAATCTGACTGCATGCTAACTGCAATTTTATAATTACCTGAAACCATCCAGAATATTTTCTCTTCAGGCACCTACTTACACAGGTTTGAAACCAAATTCATGTATAGTGCACTTCAACAAAAATGGATGAGGCCGAACCAAGAATTATTTTGTCTTGATTTCAACTGGGAAATAAGCAGAAGCAAGTGAAGTAGAAGCAGAGATCTCGTATTCATGCCAATGTAGCTACATGAGAACATCTGAGAAGAATACTCATTATCCAGGCAACAAGCCTTCAAATACAAAATTATTCATGAGCTATCAGTGTGTCCAGAAATATGGCTTTTATAGACACAACCCACCTGCAAAGCTGAAGAACTCTTCATGTGAAGGATGCATGACACTGTTTGCGCTGAAGGAAAAACCAGCTGAGTACCTAGGCTTCAATAGGGGAGCCGATATTCTCTGGAGTTTAGTTCACTGGAAATGATGCAGACGTCCTTTCTTTTACTTTTTAAGGTTAAATACGAACATGACCAAATCATAACATTTAGGTATAAGTATGTGTGGCCACCACAGCAGTTCTGTTTTTTTGCCTGGAAATTAGATTAGTTTAAAGGTGAATCATTTCTAACTGCATCCCATAATGGCTTATTTTTAACTTTAAACCTTTTGGTTTCCACATTTTCATTTTTCTACTCCTATAAAGGAAGGTTTCTGTTTTTGCCTCTGTCTATGTGAAGTGACATTATGCAGCAGACCGCAGATCTTGGCTCCCCAACTCCACTCCTGAAGGTCCACACGGTGCTTGGTGCAGTCACATGCTGGAGTTTGGCTCTCAGGGTCTTTTGGTGTGTTTGCCTCTGTGCGGGAGTTGCTGACAGTATCACCGTGTACTGGGTCTGTCTGGGATGGACTTGGTCTTCATAGTAGGTGGTATGGTGCTCTCTTGTAGATTTGTGACCAGAACAATGCTGATAACATGCAATTATTTTGGCTTTGGTGTGTACAGCATCAAGTTCGTCTTTGTTTCTCACTTGTGCTCAGCACGTAACACAGGGGTGCGCAAGAGCTTGGGAAGGGACGCAACCAGGCAGGTGATCTGAACTAACCAAAGACATATCCAGTGCCACGTAACATCCTTCTCAGCAGTAAAATGGAGAGGAGCAAGGTTTGGGTAAGGTTAGCAACCTTTTGTTTGGGAACTGGCTGGCTACTGGTCTGCCCACGGGAGGTGGCGAGTGATTGCCATTGCACCACTTTGTTTTTTTTTTTTTCTTGTTGCTTCCACTTCTCTGCTTATTAAATTATTTATATCTCGACCCATGAGTTTTCTTGCTTTTACTCTTCCCTTCTTTTCCCCTGTCCCACTGGGGGTGGGAGGTGGAGGAGTAAGCGAGCGGCAGTGTGGTGCTTTGCTGCCTATCAGGGTTAACCCACCACACCTTGCATGCCAACTGTGGTTCCACAATGGGGTGAGATCTGCCCAAGAACAGTCACTCAGCCCATTTCTCCATCTCAGGGATAACCAGAGAGCTCTCACGTGGTAATACCACAGGCCAAAGTTGGATGTGTCCAGTCATTTCAGCATAATGAAAGTTCAAAGCTCATTATGACTTCTACCTCACTACATTAAGAAAAGAAATAAAAAACTCAAAAAACTTGAAGATTATTTCTCAAAACCAAAGATGATTATATCTTAAAATAAAATCTCTTTAAGAAACCATCCACAGAGTTGGGTGTCAAGATGACTGCCCAGGAAATTCCATATGAAATGGTAAAGGACTGACAGTGAAGAGGACATTAATATGCTGGTACCAGGACTGAAAGAGAAAAATGTTTTGGAAAAAATGTGCAATAGAAAATATTTATAAAAGTTATACTACAAACACACATTAAAATATCCTTTAACTTTGCATTCATTACTTCAGTGAAGACAGAACTTCCCAAAAGAACAGAAATTCAAGCCCAGGGGAAGTGTAAGGCATAACAAGAACCTCCAATGAAGGAGAAGCAAAGGGTGACTAGTCTGAGGTGAGATTTCCAAAATCTTAAACATTATGGCCATACACTGATACAAATTCCAAGTCTCTCATAATTTCACTGAAAATATGTGTCTCTCTCTAAGAGACACTAAGCAGCCTATTTGGAAAGGCAATTCCACACTGAGTTGCCAGTCCTCCTTCTCTGCTCTTACATCACACATCTGCTTCCTACCTGGGTACTTCCACTCATCTCAAGGAGAGAGGCATGGAAGGCCACTGGCACTCATGGCACTTTTTCAGAGCTGGCCAGATACTCTATTTTAGTAAGCAGAAGCCTACAGAGCCATGAGGCATGGGTCCTACTGATTTAGGAGCTAGATTTCTGTCATACAACTACTGAATCTTATGAAATGTATAAGTACACTTAAAATAATACAATTTTTAGCCAAATCATAACTCCTTTACTCCCAAATAAGCAGTGCCTCACTGTGTTAATGAGATGTATACAATGAACAAGGCATTCTTTTTATAAAATGGCAAAATCAAGTTATTTATATTTGTATCTGGAAGTGTACTTATGGTCTAGGTACAAATGACACATGAAATACTTCTTCCCCTCTTCCAAGAAAAAAAAATAATCTGTATCCTGTGTCATCTTCTACTGCCACCAGCAGACTGACAGCTCAGGTGTATTATTTTCTGTATCCCTGCTAGGAATTCTAGCTACCGGAGAACTGAATTTCCAGTACAGTGTTGACATACGTGCACAGCCACTTCAGGGCAAGTTATTATTTACTTGATTTTTGTGTGATTTAAAACTATTTAAATCCAATAATCTGTGTTCTCTTCTCTTGTTCTTCTTGTGACTAGACTAATACCATGCATGACTTTTCCACAGGACCGTCTGTGCAAGGGATAGTTCCTTGATTTCTCATTCTGTCACTCCTCTTCCTCTCCTGTACCATCACTGGGGAAAATATTACCCAGTGATGGCAGACAGATGCTCAAAGTACAGATGTGAGGTGATAACTGGAATCCACTGAAGTCACTGGCAAAAATCCCATGGTCTTCATAAGTACCAGAAAATCATACTACGTATGGATGCAAACCTGGTAACCAGGTTACACCATGGCAGTAAGTAGCAAAGGGTAGGCAGGAATTTAAGTAATAGTCATCTGCTTTTAGCTGTTGATTCATTAAGTCATCCCTCTAGCAAGAGCTTGAAGAAGACAATCACATGTTTAAGTGTCTTCTTGAGCTGTTGCCTTAACAGGTATTCAAAGCAGATGTAATGTAGGAGTTGGTGATAAACTAAACTAAAACCAAAATGAATCTAAGCAAAGGCTGTTGGTGGCTGAAGCAGGGAGATGTGATTCACCTCACATGTTGTCTGGGTCAGCTTCAGTGCTAGAAATACTTTGATGGATTCAAAGAATTGGTTCAAAACCTTCCTCCTCAACACAGAGTGTCACAGACCCCATACAGACTGCCAGAAAGAACTAAACAGTTGAACCAGCACCAGCAAGGTGGCAAGAGCAGGGTCTGAGGAATGGTGCAGCTACGAACCAGCTCTCTTACCCCCGGATTAACAATGTGGAGCCACATCAGTGGAGGCTTGTTTGGCTGCGCTAGCCCTTCCAAGCTGCACTTGTCACATCCATTATGCATTACATTAACAATGCCCTGTGGTTACTCATCATCATTCCCACCAACTGAGCGATGCTATATTCTTTACATCACAGAGGAGGTTGTTCTGCTGAAATGTGTTATGTCTGAACAGAGTATTAGGAATTGATTTTGTCTGATTCATTTTTCATAACAACAGCTACGAGAGACCAGTTTTGTATTACCCACTGCTCCAAGTTATCTTGGCTGTGGACCAGTAGATATGAACCAGTGGAACTAAGAGAAGGAGCTGAGCCACCTCTACACTACAACAATATTCATAAATGAGAGCATGTTCTCTGAAAGCATATTCTAGCCCATTTTTTCAAAAGCAAGAACATCAACGTTTTGTCATATGCTGGCTCTTTCCTGGCCATCTAAGCTGAAAATAAGAAAACAAAACAAAAATAAAAAACAACTAACCAACCAAAAAAAAAAAAAAAAACCCAAAAAACCCTCATATGATGAAACTAGAATATAAATGTAATGTTTTGGCCATGGTGCATGTATACAACAGGACAGGCAATGATACAGTACTTTCATCTGTATTGTCTATATAAAACATTTATTTTTAAGCTCTATAATGGTATTATAGAAATACATAGAATATTTTATAGAGTGTATTTTAGTGTACTCACTGAGAAAATAACACATTTATTAAGACAGGTATTCTTATGTCCAGATGTTTTAAATATATGCACTTCTTTGCATTGCAGTATTATGTTACTTTGAAAAACAAAATATCAATATTTTATTCTTTGCTCCTCACCAGAATCTTCTCATTCAGATTTCCCTGGGTCATCTAGGGTGCTCACTGCTGTGAGATATTTTATAAAAACCACGAAAAGTACTTAGATTTGTTGATTTCCTATATTTGTTTGCATTCATGTCTAGTGCACATAGCTTGCCGTTCAATTCTCCAAGTGCCTTCTTCATAAGTACAGTGACATATAGTGCATTCATCAGTTTTCACCTCCCGGCCTGCTGGAATGACAATGGTTTCTGCAAAGCAGTTCGGGCCTAAAAAAAGGAAAGAGTTTATTATGCGATACCCATGGCACACTGTAATCCAGCATGGTTCAGTTTTAGTCTCGAGCACAGAAAACCTAACACAAAGTGAGTAGTGCTGGGCACATCAAACAAAGGTGAGCATCGTGCACAAGGTGTAATAGCAGCAGAGGGAGTCAGGACACTGCCCTCTGATGTGGCTGGGTGTTTTCAGTACGGACTGTCCTGTCCTCCCTCAGGGAAGGTCCAACAAAGCCTTTCTGTGAAACATGTGACTGTCTCAGAGACCTGGGCACGAACTGACAATGAAGATAAATACAGATTTAAGCTAGAGAAAAAGCCAGCTGTTGATAATGCAGCAGTGCTCCTGTAGGCTGCTAGAGAGCAGATTATAAATGTTATTCCTTTTTTTCCAATGTAAACAAATACTGTATTTTGTGTAGTAATCAAAGTATCAGATCAGTCTTTTTTTTCCATTTCATGAGAAAATAGTCTTTTTCCAGTAGAATGGAGTAGCTTCAGCCTCTTCTGAATGAAGATGCTTTTTGTGGATAAAATGAAATATTCCACTTCATGTAAGTCAGCAAGTCTACAAACACCCCTTTTCATAGTACACCAAAATAGCTTAATTTCCAAGGATGAGGCAGGAGAACAACCCACCAGCACAATGTTCACAACACAAATCTGGTTCTTTCAAAAGGTGACATCCTCGCATCTCTCTGCTGGAGAAGGCTGTGAGTGCTGTATTATCTACAGTTCTGTTAAAAAACAATCCTACTTCTGCGTTGAGAATCCACACGCAGTTGTAAAGCAGCACTAAACCCTACCAGTCGCCTCCTACCTACACACTGTCATGTCCTCAGGGGAGCCTGGCCCTCCCATTCACTAAGCACACACACAGCTGCTCGGGGAGAGCCCGACCAGTCAACAGTGCTTCGGTACCACTGTCCATCAGGGCAGGATGTGCACCAGGGGCCAGCTGAAACTCTTGGAAGAATATGGTGTGCAAAACACCTATCGACTGCCAACCTGTTTGCCACACAAGTAAATAAACCACAGATGAGGCTCAGGCTTCCACTGCCATGGGTCTACTCTAAGTCAAACAGTATGGCGTCTTCTAATGAAATGTCTTTATTAAGTGCTTCCTCTGAAAACCAAAGGTAGGGGCATGCTGTGCACTTTAAAGCACAAACCAAATAGTTCACAAATCAATTTTAATAGTTATCTCTTTGGATCAGGTTATGTGTTTGTGTACTGACACAGCAGCCTGAGAATTAGATGCCAAACTGACAATAATAAAAGCCTTTCCTCACTGAAGAGTTACTGTCTAGAAGAGACATGCAAGACTTGCAGAAATTTGCTTCACCAGGTTGTACCCATCAATCTTCTGAATATTTAAGGCAACATTTTGATTCAGGACTGACTTGTTGACAAGTTTTTTTAACATGTGACTTCTTCCATGGTTTTGGGTGGCTTCTTGCCCATTCAAGGGTTTGGATGCAGAATGGAGAGCAAAATACAGCGTATCTCATGTAAAATTACCTGCTTTACTAACCTAATGTTACTTTGATACTTTCGTGCTTGCAGCCCCCTCAGTCTGTCCATGCAAAATATCACTGGGATGGACAACACAGGAAGAAAGACTTCAGGGTGCCCCAGCTTTCAACTGAGATAAATCATCATTATTAACTATGCTGTCCTCGGTGGACCTGTAGAAGTTTTCAATACTAATCTATTAATTCTAATTAACTCTAATCAGTTAAATACTGTATTCTTCTTGTACCTAATAACCTTTCATCCCAAGATGGGTTCACCTGCACATTAGCTAAAGATCCCTGAATGTTTTGCATGCTGGCCTGTAACAGCCCCATAATTTACAAAGCTATATGATATAAAGAGTTAAAATATTAAAAGCAGAATCTACTTTCCATGGAGAATTTGTATGAAACCTACAAGACCACTTGAAATTTAAACACTATGTAAAAGGCACAAGAGGAACAAGTGATGTCAATCCACTTGCAGGATTTATTTCATTCTGGGAAAGTAAATGTTACAGGCTATACTTGGTTATAAAAATCAACCAGGGAATGAAGTAAAAATAGTGCAACACACACAATATAATTCACTAGGATTCAGAATGTAAATGCCTCCATTCACAATTAGCAACACCTTAATGCCATGTATGACGAGTCCTTCTTACATCAGAAAGTTATTAAATGTAAAGACACGAGTTAGCCCTAAATTTTTAAACTGTTTAATATGGGGGAAAGTCATTGCTTTGGTAAATCTACAGAAGAGCAGTAACCATCTACTTGAGAAAGGGACTCTAAAAAAATAAATGACAACAACAAACATTTTTTTAGTATCATGTAACTCTTCTATAAAAAACTGGCTACTTTCTGGTTCTGCATTTGCACCTACCATAACTGTAACTACAAATCCTATATAGAATCCTATATAGACTGGCAACAGTCAACTGGCATCCTTGCCTCACCTTTCTCTGCACTATTGCATATGCACAATATTGTGTTTAATGTTACAGAAAAGGTCATCTGACTGTATATATCTGACTGACATCATGCACATAAATGTCAGTACAATAGTGTCCAAACATGGAAAAATAATTCCACAGCTCTCCTTTTATCATTTCTCTCAACCCTCATACTTGTAGGGAAAAAACCTCTGAGCTTTACCCCAAACCTCATTCAATTTTGAAGCTGTATGAGCTAGTGATGGCTCTTGGTGTCCTGTGTGGCTCCCTTCCCACCAAGCAGGCGATGCTCATCCCCTTCCTTTTCCTCTGAGGAGCAGTCACAGACACCAGACTTAGAGGGCTGAACTGGCCAGAGGTGACAGGGGGACACATGGGGCAGCAGGGGGGGGACCCTTGGTGCGGGGCGCCCTGGTGCTGCCAGCAGCCCTCCCCCAGCCCAGGCCAGTCAGATGGATGGTACTGATGAAGCAGCTAATGATCCCGTTCTTTGTCTGCCTAAACAGACAGTGAGGAAACTGAGGAATTGAAGATTTTTAAGCAGAGAACGGGGCAAGGAGGCAGAGGGCACACAAAGGCTGGTGGTAGACTCGAGTGCCATTTTCTCTCTCCCTTGGTAGAGGGAGGCAGAAGCAAATGTATCCTCCACATTCAGAGCGGGTAAGCTGCCCTGAAGGCATGGCATTTGCTGAAACTACTGCTTTACTTAAAACTGGGCCATTTATATTGATTTAGCAAGACTTTCAGCTTCCCATCACAAAGGGCACGACATTTCTTAGTTGTTAAGAAATTTGCAAAATTAACTGACTTAGCACATAAAAAAGCATTTCCAAGTAAATGGGGGCTGTTCCAACTCCAAATTGGTGGTGGGCTTTCTGACCAGATGTTGCTGTTGCAGGAGCAGTGAAATCTCTTGTCCTTGGTCTACAAAGTGGGCTGTCTGCTTTCTGAGCTCCTGCCTGGGAGCACTGCTGCTTTGCCCAGCTTCAGCACCCAATACTTGTTCAGTGCAGCAATAGCTTGTTTGAGTTTGATCTATAGTATCAACCTCCTCCTGGGTTCCATCCCCAACTGCATACACTTACGTAGCTCTAAGGAAGTCAGTGGTGCTGCACTTCTTCACAGTAGATGAAGATCTTGCCATATCACTCTCAAATCTGGCAGAAAATTCAATATGACATATTGTACCAATTCTGAGTGCAGCTTGAAATCTACCACGAAGTCATTTGTCTTCCTAAAGTATGTACTGGTGCTATCAGACCCTGGTTGAGCCATACCATGCTAGGATCAGGAGAGATTTCTTTCCTAGCGCTAAGGCACAGCTGCTGCTGTCTCAGTGATGTTTCAAAGCAGCGAGTTCAGTGCAAATCCTCAGTACTCACACTGAGCACCAGATTGGCACACAGCTCTCAGCTTCCCTGCATCCAAAACAATGAATCCTAGCTCCCAAAAGGAACATTTATACTGGGATCTAAGGAACTAGGAAGGCATTTGTCTTGGGTTTGCATGGCAAGATTCTGGTAGCTGGGGGTGGCTTCTGTGAGAAGCTCTCAGAAGCTTCCCCTGTGTCTGACAGGACCAGTGCCAGCCGGCTCCAAGATGGACCCACTGCTGGCCAAGGCCAAGTCCATCAGTAACAGTGGTAGCACCTCTGGGATAATGTATTCAAGAGAGGAAAAAACCAAACACCCATGCAACAGCAACCGCAGCCAGGAGAAAGGAGAAACAACCCTGCAGACACCCAGGTCTGTGAAGAAGGAGGAGGTGCTCCAGGCGCCGGAGCAGAGATTCCCTTGCAGCCTGCGGGGAAGCCCACGGCGGGGCAGGCCGCGCCCTCAGCCCGCGGGGAAGCCCACGGTGAGGCAGGCCGTGCCCTGCAGCCCGTGGAGGTTAACGGTGGAGCAGATCTCCACCTGCAGCCCGGGGAGGACCCCACGCCAGAGCAGGTGGACGTGCCCAAGGGAGGCTGTGACCCTGTGAAAACCAACACCGGTGCAGGCTCCTGGCAGGACCTGTGGAAAGAGAAGCCCACGCTGGACCAGGTTTGCTGGCAGGACTTGTGACCCTGGGGGGGACCCACACTGGAGCAGTTCATGAAGAGCTGTAGCCCACGGGAAAGACCGGCGCTGGAGCAGTTCGTCTAGGAGTGTCTCTGTGGGAGGGACCACACGCTGGAGCAGGGCAAGAGTGAGAGGAGCCCTCCCTCTGAGGACAAAGCAGTGGCAGAGACAACGTGATGAACGGCGGCAAGCCCCATCCCCTGCACTGCTGCACGGCTCAGAGGGAGGAGGTCGAGAAAACTGGGAGCGAGGTTGAGGCCAGGAAGAAGGGACAGTTGGGGGGATTTGGGTTTGTTTCTCATTATCCTACTCCATTTTGATTGGTAATAAATTAAACTAATTTCCCCAAGTCTAGTCTGTTTTGCCCATGACAGTAATTGGTGAGTAATCTCTCCCTCTCCTTACCTTGGACCATGAGCCTTTCATTATTTTTTCTCTCCCCTGTCCAGCTGAGGAGAGCA